GCACTCTGCAGACCACCTCACACAAGTCGCTCAAGCAGCGCTTCCGCATGGCTTACGCAGGAATGAATGAATGGCTGGGCGCTGCCTCTTGATTTATACTTCTGTAACTCGTTCCTCTGCTCCTTTCCCCTGCCCTTGGTGCACACAGTCCCACACAATACTTGAATGGACTAGGACTGACTAGGACCTGTACCGCTGACTCAGCAAGGGTGGACTTCACCACTTGCCCACTTGCCTACAGTCTGCTGTGAGCAACGTTGGAAGGGCCACTTTCGGACCTTCCGGAAGTCTGTGGACTTGGCCCTTCGACACTGTAGGAGCTACGACCTTGACCTTTCAGGACTGTAGCAGCTACGATCTTGACCTTTCAAAAAAAGTACAGCTACGACTTCTAGAACACACTAAGACCTCTATCCGACAGGTCTACAGATCGAACCCCTACAACCTACGGACCTACGACAGCCTACCAACTGTTGCGAATACACAGGTCACGGGCTCAACTCTCGGGGTCGACACAGGTACTGTACACAGGTAAGGTAAGAACTAGGGATCGAGCCCTGGGATCTGCATTCGCTACTGCTAACAGGTGAATACCGTTTCATGACGAAGAATTGCAATGAATTAATTCAGCATCTGTTGATACATCAATCCATCAATTAACTTGCAAGGAAAATGAGCAATAACGAGATGACAATGTCCAGCATGCACAATCACATTGAAGGCCAGATAGTATCACAGTGTCCAGAAAGTAGAAATGCACCAATATAGCACCAATGAAGAATCGTAACACTGAAAACCAATGTCAATGAGAGCTTGCTCTCGCCACCACCAACATGAGTGTCCAGGCCCTATCTCCCTGCTTGGCGCTCGGCGCCCAGCCTTCTTCCTACACAGCTACAGTCTGCCTACTAATTGACAATGCAACTGTTGACGTCGGCAGCCCACGAAGTACTTGAAGATGTCGCCCATAGCAGACCATCGCCAATACCAGGTATGTGCCCTCACATCATCATCATCATCATCCTTCTCTCTCTCTCCCTCTTCTTACACTCACTTCTTTCCTCAGTACACCCGAAGACCACCCCTGCGCCTTACTGTACAACCAAGCCCTCAGCCAGCTACGGAGGCTGGGCTATGCAGCTGCCCTCACCAGCGCCCTGCTTCCACACACGACCGCACGTGCGCAGCACCTTGCTCCAGCGCTAGTAGCCAGCACGCGAGCGAAAGCTCCAGCAGCGCTGCCGCCAGCCAGCAAGTGCCAGAATGAGGCTCCTGTTATGATTCTGGCCAATTTCTAGATACACATCCATCAGATAGTACAATGCCGCCCAATTGCAGAAAGAAATAAATGAACTTGAGAGAAGGGAGAGGATTAGAAGAAGAAGTAGTAGTAAGAAAGAAGAAGAAGATGATGTACACCAGCACAGACACATGACAAGGGTCTTCTTCTTCGCCTAACAATCTCCTCCTCCTTATCTCCCCCTTCTCTTATTTATACAAGAAATAAAAATACAATGTTGAATGGTTGATCCAGAATCCATGTCCGAGTTCCTCTTCTACTGCAGGTATCACTTGATGTCCACCATAGCCATGGCCGCCTCTCCCACTCTTCACTCTCATGAGCCGAGGCTATGGCGGACTACTAGGTCTTGCCCAGATGCCCAAAGGACAACACAAAGCAGCTATGGCTGCTTCACTCAGGCCGCCATGCCCAACTCTGCCTTGAGGCTTCTTGGTGTGGCTTTCCCCAATTGGGGACTCCCTGCTGCAGCGCCCACCAAGGTCATGAAGATGGCTGCCACCACAGCCAGGTAAGTACCCCTGGCGCTCCTCCCCCTTCCTATCCTTCTTCCTCCTCCGTGTCCTTCTCCTTCCCCAGCAGCGCTGCTCCTGGATAGCGCTGCTCCGACCGGCGCTCCAACCAGTGTGTCGCCAAACTTGCACACCGAGAAAGAGGTCGGGCTCTTCGCCCGGCTGGGAGATATAGCGGCCTGCTTGCCTCTTCGGGCGGTGACTTCCAGGCCGCTCGGCCTTCCAAGCAACCGGTACCTCCTCCCTTTCGGAGGGAAACATCATTGCAGACTCTGATATTGCCCGTACAGGCCCTAGACCCAGACTGGTTGGACTGGTATCCGCCTAGACCTATCCTACAACTACTGGGCCTCTAAAAATGCCACTTTTGTCTTCTTCTGCTCGGCCTCCAGTACCCGCACATCTACCTCTTCAGGGTGCGGTACCGGCCTACCCGCTACTCGAGTGTTTTTCCTGCTGCAATCCCTCAATGTCACGGCCACAGGTAAATACCGGCCCTGAGGGCCCAATGAACGAGCAAGTGCCCCTGCGGGCCACACACACACTCAAGCCAACCAGCACTCAGACAGGCATGGCCACACACACACAGCCAACCAGCACTCAGACAGGCACGGCGACACACACACTTCAAGCCAACCAGCACTCAGACAGCAAGTATGCACACACAGACATAGTAGCACGCGGGAAACTCAGCAAGGCATTCAGTCTATGGGCAAAACTCAGAAATCAGTCGTGTGTTTCAGTCCATGTTTGGACGGGTCTCCAGAAAAAAGAGTCTGCCTGCCTTTGCAGCCTGGCTGGCCTGGGCCTGGGCCCAGAAGCTTCCGGTAGGCCCCAGGATGCTGCGCCTCTGTTGCAGCTACTGGGCCTCATTTGGTTGGGCCTCCCAACTGTCTGTGTATGAGCCTGCGATTCTCGTCCAGGTCCTGCTTCATTTTGGAAAGGCCTGGAAGGCTGTGGAATGTCTCGCTGCTCGGCCTGTGTTTCCCTCGACCAACTGGCGCGACGAAACTGCCTGGAACCCAAATACGATATTGACAGCTTAGGGCCTCTCGTGATTTGTTAGGCCCGCCTTCACTTAGGGCGGGCGCATCTGCAGCAAGAGGCCCCTTACACCTGCCGAGGACCCAGATCCTCGCAAACTCGTCAACCAATCCATCAATCAATCCATGCATCCATCCCTCCGAACGCCCGTCCATCTCTCCGTTCATCTGCCATCCACCTGTTCACCCATTGGACCCAGATCCTCGAAAACTCGTCAACCAATCCATCAATCAATCCATGCATCCATCCCTCCGAATGTCCGTCTGCTGTCCGTTCATCTGCCATCCACCCGTTCACCCATTGGCCCATCAAATAATGTATTTGTCTCTCTTCTTCGTCTGCTCCAATACGAGACTAATGCATGCCTATCATGAAATACACAATGCCCAGAACGAAGGAATCACCAACTTAAGAGAGAACAGATTGTGTGAGGTAAGAACAGGAGGATAAAATGTGAGAGAAGATTAGAGAGACAGCCCAGAAGGCACTTGTTGAACAGGTAGGCTCCCTCAATCCACGATAGTCTTACAATGCCAAGCCTGAGCCTGGAA